CTATCAAAAGATTAGAAAGAAAAAAATAATAATAATAAAATGGATAGAACTGCAGCAAAATGATTTATGCAAAATATGTACACTTCATGCGATACTCAGCCAAAAAAAAAATTGGAAAAAAGAAAAAAGAAATAGGGAGGTTTTAAAATCAAAATAGAAGCCCTGAGATTTTAACAAGGCACCTCACTAACAATCCACCAATAATAGGTTGTTGCCACAATGCAAAAAGTGCTTTATGTAATGTACATATAGTTTATAAGGAAATTAAACTAGTCTCTTCCCAAAGTTGAAATTGTGCGTTGTTATTATTCATAATTTTCATCAACCATAAGAGTACTGATAGCAAGTGTATTATTGTGATACATCAAATAAATTTTTGAAATAATTGAAAAATTAAGAGGTTGTTTTGTTGGAAGCACAAAACACTGAATGCATCTCCTTTCCTAGCATTTTAAAAATTTTTATGGATTGAAATAAAAATATAATAACAACAAGCCTTTATCCCACTAAGTGGAGTCAGCTACATGAATCATTTTTCTCCATTGTGACCTATCAAGTGTCATATTTTCATTTAATTTTAATATATTAGATTATTTTTTATACAAAATGCCTAAGTCTTTTTCGGTCTACCTCAACCTTTCTTAATATAAGTCGAATCTAAAGCATTTACTCTCATAACTGGATGATCAAATGGTCGATGTTTAATGTGATCAAGCCATCTAAGATGATCTTATCTGCCACTGGAAGCACACCAACCATTTCACGGATATATTCGTTTCACATTTTTCTCTGACACCTTTCTTAATATAAGTCGAATCTAAAGCATTTACTCTCATAACTGGATGATCAAATGGTCGATGTTTAATGTGATCAAGCCATCTAAGATGATCTTATCTGCCACTGGAAGCACACCAACCATTTCACGGATATATTCGTTTCACATTTTTCTCTGACTGTCAAACCACTCATCCACCTAAGCATTCTCATCTCAGTAACATTTACTTAGTTTTATGCTTCTCTTTTAAAGACCAAAATTCTGGGCCATAAAGCATTGCATTTCTACACCAACATTTATGTGTTTCTTTTATGCTTCTCTTAAATAAGGCTTGTTGAAGGCTCGCCACTATCTTATAAAGTTTTCCTTTAGGCCTAAGCAGTACTTTTCTCACACAATAGGCTCAATGCATTCCTCCACTTCAACCATCCAACTTGAATTCTACTAATAACTTCTCCATCTATTTCACCATCACATTGAACAATAGACCCGAGATATCTAAAACGTTCACACATTTTAATGATTTGATCACCAATTGTTACAACTCTGCTATTGAAATTACTACTACTAAAATTACATTCCATGTATTCAATTTTAGATCTACCCAAACGAAGGCCTTGAGACTCTAATGTTGATCTTCATAATTCAAGTTTTTTTCTGAACTTTTTCTTTAATCTTATTTACAAGAAGGATATCATCAGCAAAAGCATACACCAAGGTACATGCTCCTGCAAATGTCCAGTAAGAGCATCCAAAAGTAAAACAAAAGGATATGGGCTTAAAGTTGATCCCTGATGTAATCTCATTGAAATAGGAAAATAATTGGTCAATCCTCATTTTGTTCGAATACAAGTAACAATTCAAGTATACATATACTCTAGTATACATATTTTTAATGACTTGAATATAAGCATATCAACACTTTTCTTTTCTAGAACTCTTCAAAGAACTTCTCTTGGAACCTTGTCGTAAGCTTTTTCTAAATCAATAAAATCATACGTATATCCTCCTTTCCTCTTTGTACTTATCCATCAACCTTCTCAATAAATGTATAACTTTCATAGTAGACTAGCTCGATATAAATCCAAACTAATTATGAAAGATCTTTGTATCACGTCTTAACCAATCTTCAAGTACTACCTCCCATAATTTTAATGACACATTAACTTAATTTATTTATAATTTATACACTCTCGTGCATCTCCTTTATTCTTTAAAGTGGGAACCAAAATGCTCTTACTCTACCCGTTAGACATCTTTTTAATTTTTAAAATACAACAACAACAACAAAACATTTACAACAACAAAACACAACAACAAAACATTTATCTCACTAAGTGGGGTCAGCTACATGAATCCTTTTTCTCCATTGCGTCCTATTTAGTGTCATATTTTCATTTAATTCTAATAAATTAAGATAATTTTTTATACATTATGCCCAAGTCACCCTAGGTCTACCTCTGTCTTTCTTAACATAAGTCGACTCTGAAACATCTTCTCTTCTAATCAGATCATCAGATGGTCAACGTTTAATGTGACCAAACCATCTAAGACAACTCTCTCTAATTTTGTTTGTCACTGGAGCTATACCAACCCTATCATGGATATATTCATTTCGCATTTTGTATTTAAGTGTAAAGCCACTCATCCACCTAATCATTCTCATCTCGGCAACACTTAACTTAGTTCTATGCTTCTCATTTAAAGGCCAACATTTGGCAACACTTAACTTAGTTTTAAAATAATATAAAAAAATTTAATAAATCAAGAAACCCCTAAATCTCCTAAATATTTCCATACTTTCTATTGGGATATCAACAGTCCTATTGCTTTTTCACCCTTAGTTTTCTTTAAAGTCTCATTATATTTTTTTTTTACCAATACGGCGGTTGAAAAAAAATTTATTATTATTAATGATATTAAGATTACTAAAATCAATCTTATTTTCAAAAACTTCATTGAAAAAAATTATCAAAATATCTCACCTATCTATGTTGAATATCTTTAAGAAAAATACTTCTATATTTTCATCTTTAATACACTTTCCTTGAATAAAATATTTAATTTTTTTCTTTGTTTAGCTAATTTATACAAATATATTTATCATCTTTAATACTCAATTTATCATAAAAATTAATAAAAATAACATTCTTAGCATCTCAATTGTTCTCTTAGACTCCCTATAGGTCATTTTTTTCAGTTCTCTAAGCTCTTACATTTAAACAAATTTTAATAATAAATTTTCTTATATCTTATATTTTCTTGCACATTATTACTTCACAACTAACTATTTTTATTTACAATTTTTTTTCCTTTTGATTTTCAAATAACATCTTTTGTCACATATTTAATAGTATTTGTTATTTTATCTCACATAGAATTAGCTTCTACATGAACATCTCAAATCTCGAAATCTTGAAGTTTACTCATAAAAATAATTTTATGTGTCTTTTAGATGTCTCCATTTAATTTTATAATGAAATTTCACTATAATTTTTATCTTTCAACTACTCATCTTAAGATTCAGAAATAATAATTGTTATTGAGTACTTAAATTTTTACTTGAAACAACTTTACAATTTTTGCATTGTCGAAGATCACTATTTTTCATAAGAAAATAATCATTTTTTGTTTTATTAGATTCATTCTTAAAGTAATAATATACTTATTTTTTTTATTGAGTAAAATATTATCAATAAAAAAATCATAAGCTATAATAAAATCTAATATGATTCTAACATCTTCATTAATAACTCTAAAACCGTAGCAAATATGAATATTTCTAAAATCTTATACCACTCTACTAATATGTCCATTTAAATCTCCCCCAATAAATTTTTTTCTTTAAGAGGCATTATTTGTATTAATTTTTCTGGTTCATTCTAAAATTTTTCTTTTGAACCTATATCTAAACCCACTTAAGAAGAATAAACACATAACATTAAAAATATCAGTATCAATAACAATCTTTAGAGCTATAATTCAATCTTGAATTCAATTAAATTTTGTAACTATTTTTCAAACCATTTTCTATAATTGCACATACACAATTTCTAGTGCGACTCTTACCTGAATACTAAAGTTTGAAACCTTAAGTTATCAATCTCCTTAGTTTTAACTCCAACACATTTAATTTCTTGAAAACATAAGATATTTATCTTCCTATAAACCATAATATCTATTAATTTTATTAATTTACTGTGAGAATATCTATGTTCCAAGATCATATCCTAATATTAGTTTCATGGACTAACTTATGTATGCATCTGTCCATAATATGATAACCCTTGATTATTTAACACTATATAGTGTAGCAGCCCTTACACATTTCTCATTGTATTCAGATCATAGTGTGTTTGCCTCCCGGGGGCGCCCTAGCATCTACAAAATATACAAAATATATATTTGACGAGTTTGAAAAATCATTTAGATCATGCAATTTTCAAATCTCACATCGCATCGCCCCACTCATTTGTGCTACCTTTGCTCTCACCTTTGTCGCGTAACCTCACCTCGCTAATGTCCCTTCGCTACCTTGCCCCCACCCCATCGTTGCCCTCAATTATCATACTCTCCACTTAAGACGTCACCTCCTTCACCGAATTTACAAATAAGAGATAAGAGAGAGCTAATGTCCCTTCGCCACATTGCCCCCACCCCCTTGTTGCCCTCAGTTACCGGCCTCGCCATTTGAGACGTCACCTCCTTCAGCGAATTTACAAATAAGAGATGAGAGAGAGAGAAAGAGAGAGAGAGAGAGAGAGAGAGAGAGAGAGAGAGAGAGAGGGGGTATCCTAACAAATATTGAAAAAATATTGAGAAATTGTCATACCTACCACAGAATTCTTAAGTATTTACATCTCTAACAGTTTAATACTTACATTTACAACAATTTGGTTCAATAAACGGATACATTAAATGGTACATTTCACTTTTTAAGTTAATAAAAGTGATATTTTTTATATGAGATTAAACATTTAAATGATATGCATATAAACATGAAAGTTTAGGTGTTAGATATATAAATACATAAGACATGTGTAATATGTATCTGAATGCTGCAAAATTATTTTACTGCATTTGATTTGTGTACATTCATAAAATTCATGAACTTCAGTCAATGTAATTTTCTAAAATCTATCAATTTTAAAATCATCCAACTAAAAAGCCAGTAAGTACGTGAGTATCAGGTAAAACTAAACCTATCCGCTCACCCATAACGCACCTGGGTATCAAGGAACGTGCAGGCGGCCTCAAGCGCGACTTCTAGCGCACGGAACTCGAAAGGGAGGTAGTCCGGCGAAGTAGACCATCCATGAAAGCCATCACCGGAATGCGCGGCGAGGCGACGCTGCAACTCGTTGACATACTGCAGAACGTAACTGTCGAGGGAATTTAGAAGGAGGACTTCATCTGCGGTGATGATACAGCGAATCTGCTCCAGATTTACGACGATGGCCTTTTCCCGCCCCAGGATCGTCGAGGGATACAAGAAGAGTGGGTCGAGCAAACGAAGGTCCCGCGCCGGCAGATCACACCGCCGCATCATCGAAAACTTATCCACCTCGATCACCTGCGATCCACCGGTAGCCGCATCAACCCGGATCCACGAACGTAGGCCCTGCCCTCGCTTCTTTAACCACGGAACATCCATGCCCTGGAACAAAGGCCGACGGACGGCGGCGGTGGAGTGGGCGTCGTTGTGAGTGATAGATGTAGCGGATGAAATCCGCCGTGGGGGAAGGAGACGCTCGCGAACCTCCGCCATGGGAGGATTGGGGTTTCCTTCGATTGATTGAGCTTGTATTATCTGATCCAATATCCAAAGAACGAAGGGAGAACGAAAGTTCAGCGCAATTATTCAGACGGGAGCGACCATGGGGCGGTCTGTTGTGGCCTCGATGCATACAAAATTGAAGGCATTCGAAAATTCTAACGAGGACTTCAACTATTAATAAATTGAAGAAATTTTGGTCTAAATTTAAATGTTTAATTTTTCAAAAAGATTATATAGTGGCAATTTTTATAAACTTTAATATTAGGTTTTTTTTAATTGAATTAGAATATTTATTCAGCACTATTTTAATTGAAATTTTTATTCTATATGCATCATAAGAGAGATTTTATTCTACATGTGTCATATGAGTAGGGTGACGGGCCCCGGTCGTGTTCGGCTCGTTTATATTCTGAGCTCAGAAAGTGTGTTCGTGTTCCGCTCGTTTGCTTATCGAGCCGCACACGAGCTGTTCACGAACAAAGAGTCATTTTAACAACCCTAATCATGCAACCATAAGACAATAAGTATTTGAGCAAGATTTAAAAATCACGAACAAAGAGTCAATATTATTTAAATCTTCTATTTTCTCAATCAATATTTTAATTGATTATAAATTTTTGTAACCTTCTAG